TAAACATTTCAATGACCCAGTTAAATTGCGGAAACACTGAAAAAATATAAACCCTTAAAGAAAACTGTCTAGTTTAATAAAGAAATGAAATCATAACGATAAAGAAAACATGAAGAAATTTCGTTGTAGATATGCAAATTTCCACTTTGAGACCATAGCGTAAAAACATAATATCATGTTTGCATAATAATAAAACAGATTTGTACGTGAAAAGCGTAGTCGTGTAAATAAACAAACGGAATCTGTCAGAATTATAATTATATTTACACTTTAATACCTAGTTACTAATATTTTTAGATGTAAAAATCCATTTTAAAATTTCACTGATATTCTTGGATAATATGACTACAGGGATTTCATTTTACGAATTGAATGAAACATCAAAATAAAAAGATAATATGATTAAGCTGCAATTTATATGCCACGGAAACAATTTTCCCGTTATGGCGCATAATGATGTCCATATTAGTTGCTATAATTTTGTTATACTTTAAGTACGAGTATTAGAGAGTTTAAGCGTTTGACATTGCGCATAGTTATGAAATATTTTGCACCAATGAAAAGAAATAAGAAGTGTCACAAGTGAACGAATTAATTTTCATTTTGGGGAGGAAAAAGTTTTTTTTCCATTCGCATCCGTAATAAAAAATTAAACCTCAAATGTTTCTCTTCGATTTAAGTGCTTAAAGAAATGACCTTTCATCCCACTCCTTTGTACTTCTTTTATTTCAATCATGTAACCGCAAGAGATAAAGCTACATATTTACGAAAAGATATAACGAACAAATGACCAATTCACTTTTTAAGATGTTTTATAAACAGTCTAAATAAAATAACAAATATTTAAATAATCATATTTTCTAAAAAAGATAATGCTTCAAAATAATGTTTTATTTTATTATCTCAGATTCAGATATATAATTATGTATTTTTGTACAAATTTAATTGTTGTATGTCGTGAATATTAGTAATGACAATTATCTAACTGCTTTTCAGTGAAAGAATATTAACGCAACGATATCGTATAATACAATAAGAACATTTTAGTTGTAATAAAATGTGAACCAGGATTATCTAAAAATATATACTAGTTTGCCTAGAAATCGAGCTTCTGTAGTAAAAGAAAAATTTGAACAATAAAACAAAATTGACAATACCCACCGATTTATCAATTTGAGATATATGATATTTTAATGTCATATGTTTAAATACAATTTAGCCCTGCAAAGCATCGATCGATACATTTCTCTAGTAAAATATCGATACATATTAACAAATGAATGAGAAAATGAAAAGAAACTTATACAGTCAAAATCCACATTTAATTTGGAATAATTTTCTCATTTAGAAATTAATTTGTAGAAGCCTTTGGTATATGTATATTCATTCGAAAATAAGTCTGGATATTGCAACAAAGAAATGAAGTGAAATTTCATTAATTTTCAGATTTCACAAAATTTAATGTAATAACATATATTTATGCCCTATATGAGTTTATAACAACAGATTATTTTACCATTCTTTCTCTTTCTGACAAATATGCAAACGTATTCTTATGACTGTCTCTCCGATGATATGACTAGATGTCATAGTCTGCAAACAGTGAAAATCTCTCTTTCCTCTTCTCTCTCTCGCACTCTCTTGTTGTGGTAGATAATTCTTCTTCTTCTAATTCACCAAATTCTGTATTGATGAGAAAAATGATTAGACTTTCAAAGACTGTGTGAAAACTTATTATTGCAAAGCAAAAACTTTTTGTCTGAAAGAATGGTTCATTATGTAATACAGACCTATCCTTTATAATGTCATTTGCCATCTTTTGTTTAATGTTTAGTATGTCATGTTTCCAGATTTTGTTAAATTAGAAAATAATAATTAGAAAAAAATAATTAGAAAAAAAATCTGTGCTTGGAGTGGCAACTACTAATGATGTGGGTACTAAGCTATATTGTTACATGTTGAATTGCACCTACCTACACATGATGTCATGGATTGTAATTTCCTTCGACTGTTTAATTACACACGTTCGTAACATTTCGACATGAATTTCACACCATGCAAGAAAAGTTTCTGAACAGCCAATTGTCAAACAATTTCTTGCTTATATGTTTTTCGTTGCAAACCCGGATTACAAAATTACTAATTTCATGTAGTTTTTTTTATACTTTCTTGACTAGATAATTTAAGAGTAAGACAACTGTATAGTGATGGAAAATATCTTTCTTCATTAATTATACATATGATAATGGCATTCCTTAAGAATCCAGCAATGGAAGTTTATGCTAACTTATGAAGTTCAAAGGAAAAATAGACACATTCAAATGAATTTGAATTAATCAAATTGACCATAGGTTTTATGTCCGTACTAAAATTATTTTGAGTTAAAAGGCAAACCTGAGCAGTGATCGACTTTCGAAAATATAAACTTTAAGATATAAATAAACAGTTTTTTTGTATGAAAGGAAATCCAACGAGTTTCAAAACACCATAAACATGTATGTCTTACATAAATCAAGTTTGCACTTAAAACAGACAAATATGCAAAGGCTTATTAATTTAGAAAAATATACTCAGTAATAAATTGAAAATCATATTTTTGTGCTATACTTAGACCGATTTGAGTGATAAGTGTTGCATCGCTTTTTAATTTTTTGTCATTGTCACATTTAGAATAATTGTTCTTGGAATACCACAAAAAGGGGCAAAACGTATTAAAAGCAAACATTAACTCCAATCCCCTCACAACGTGCACTATATTGACTTAACAAACGTAAACAATACATACCTGTATAACTACAGTAAAAGACAAAGTAAATTAACAATACGAACAAACTGTAATAATTTTAAATTTTTAAGGTATAATTGCGAAATTGTAAAAACATGTGTTAAGGTTTATTAACGTTGTAATATAGGAAATCATTATAATAGTCAATCTTTTGAAATATACTACTACTTCCACTAAACATGATAGCGCAAAAATTCGCATAATGTCCTTTTCAGTACATCTACAAAAAAATCATACAATATTGTTTTAACGGAAAACTCTTTTGAAATTATCACATGGTAAATGTTGTATATCTAAATCTGACGTGAAATTCCAGATTAAATACAAATGTTGAATAAGGACAATACTCAACTATTTGTAATTTGTCTTTTAATATGTCATAATAAAAGACGCAAAACAATCATGTCAAGAACATTTCGCTTCACAACCTTTACACCTTTCGCCTTCGGTATAAATGACGATAGCAAAACAATTACAATGTATATCAATCGCAAGAAGTTGTTTCTGATGTTTTTTACACGTTGAGTTATTGTCAGTCAGTCAGTCAGCCAGTCAGTCTATCCTCCAAAACTGTTAAAAAAAATTTCAAAAGAAAGTGTTAATCTTAGATTTCTCTTAGATGCATAGCATTTATCATAAAAAATATTTATAAGTGATCTGCTTTTCAATGTATTTACTCGTGCAATATAATGTAAGTATTTACTTTGATTACGGACAAATCACTAAAGTAGATTTACAGTCTATTATATTATATTATATATAATCCCAGTCTGTTTGTTGAATGTGGCAAGATGAATATTGTTTTCCTACGGTTTGATTTGTTATTTATTTTCTCTGCCTCATTCAACTTGTGATGCAAACCTTTAAAGCGTTAAATCATCATAAATCATCATTTCCCAAGACTGTTTCTACATACATTATACCACGATAAATTTTCATTGCCCGAAACAATTCACACGAAAAGGGAAAATTGAAGATTTAAATAAATTTAGCGGTGATTTTTTGAAACACAAATTGTTTTAATTCTCCAACAAATCTGTGAAAATATACAATCGTGTTATGGGAATTCTTTGTGAACAGTTTTCTATCATGTTCTAAATATTTTACTATGTCTACAAATTGCTCTTCACCATATTCTTCTATTTTACAAAGTAACTGACCATTGTATGTTTTTGAGAGATATGCATAGCTTTTGGCAATAAAGTAATTGGAAATATGTCAAAGGAAGGCACAATGAAAATACATTCCATCAATTTGAAGAGATATCGTGAGAACTTTAATTCTTTGTAAAGTAAAATCGCATTTTGTCTTTTATTGTATCTGCAAAGAATTGATAATGTTTACGGAACGTAATCCTCAGTAATGTTAAGAAGAAACTAGGGGTATTCAACATCAACTATTTACAGTTGTATTTAATATACAAACTTATAAAATTTCTAATACCCTTTAAAAGCAGTGCACCTCTAGATTTGGTTATTATTTTCTTGAAAAACATTAAAATTGTGCTCATGAATAAAAGCGGCGCCAAGTGTACACAAAAAAGTAAATAAGCTTCGGTTCAGTCACTAATTATCCATAAAAATATATGTAACTTGTATCATAGTTTGGGGACCTTTCTGTTGAAAATATGTCCGAGTTAAATCGTATACATATACATGCACCGTGCGTTAACTGGAGTGCAGGTATTAGTTACCCGCACTCCAGAGCATGCCCATTGATTGGCTCATTTTTGCTGGGGTTTACTTACTGTGACGACAGAGAAAGTGAAAGCGACAGAAATGTCATATTAAGATGCTCGTTCATTGGTTACATTTCCTCGGGGTTTCATATTGTGACGACAGGGAACGTGTTTTTATGTTTGACTATGATACAAAAGAGAAAGAACATCAAAACACTCGGCGATCTGATTTATACTCGGGGGGCTACGCCCCCTCGTATAAATCAGATAGCCTCGTGTTTCGATGCTCTTTCTATTACTTACTTATACGGAAAAGTATCTGAGTAACAAGGTAACATTTGTTGTTGAATATAGTAATATAATAAAGAAAACCTAGAACGGCGAAAGCAAAAATATTCTGTGGACATAGTGGCAGTGTAAGCTACCGTCTACGCCCATAGAAGCGACTTAAACAATTCTACATTTGAAATGAAATGTGTTCATGGAAACTTAATGTGAAACATATTTAGACATTCCATAAAGCGGTGTATGATCCTCACGTTACCAATGGTAGGATACTACGTCATCGCGCACCTGCTAAATGCTCCCACTTGGACCATTTTTTCGTCGACTCAAAGGTAAAATACAATTTTATTATAAGAAAACGTAAGAGTATTTAAAAATCATGTAGCGCACCAAAGAATGGCTATAGTACTTGAGATAATTGTAAAAAAAGTTTATAGATTTATTGCCTGGTTAAGGCCTGAAAACGGGATAAGTGTTTTTCTCTGAATGCTCCCACTCGGACTTCTCCCGAAACATATATGAAATAAGGTTGAAAACCTTCTTTAAAATTATTTTTAACGTACCGGAACATAAACCGAGTCATGTATACCCATTTTTCTATATAAGTGTCAAATGTTTCTATTCAAAAGTCAGTTTTTCTTTATTCTTTTTATAAAAATAGAAAATGCTCCCACTCGGACTCAACTTCAGAGATGCTCCCACTCGGACCTAAATATATACAAATTGCTGTCTTAAGATATTATTAATTTTTTCAAAATATCTTTATATTCACGTTCATATATTCATATAATCAGTAAGAATTCAATGAAACAGCATTTTTAAAATACGATACTAATATTTAAATTACTAAACAGTCTCGTAAATATGTCTTCTTAGAGGATTAGTATATTGGAAAAAAAATTGTGTTGAAACAATTCCTCGTTTAAAAGAGTCGCTTAAATAAGAAAGAAATTGTTTATACATTTTAAAAATGTAATAACGTTTTGTTTTTCAGAAAGTATTTGTATTTGTGACCAGTATGGGAAAAGGTATAAACCACATTGCGACGTAAGGAAGCACATGGCAGGACATCTTGGCACGGCAAAGCTGGAGCAAATATTTTAGATACCAACTGTGGATATATCTCATTGAGGAGGAATACTCTAGAAAACACAAGAATAATAGTTCTTTGAAGTAATTGTCATCTGAAATTTCACTGGAGGATAGATTTCAATAAAGTAAAATACCGCAAACAAGAATGACAACTCTCCAGTTTTAGAGTTAGTGCTCTTTGTATTCACTATCATTAGTTTGCAAGGACCATACCTCTAAAGGTATTTGAGATATAAACTTAAAACTTTATATTGAACATGTTTAATAGAAGTGAATAGCAGAACATAAGGACCAGAAGTGTTCACTTAATGCTTCTTTGTTGTTTTTCTTTGTTTTTTTTTTCATGGGAGTGTTATTTTTGTCATGATTTATTATGTCTAGGCTATAACTTTTCATTAATTTTCACGAGTATCATTACTTGGAATTTTTTTTCACGTATGTAAGGGTTACTTCCCCTTTAAAATGTTCTTCCTCCTTATGGCGGGGGATTTTGCTGTCTGTGATTCCTTCTTGTATTATTGCTATTATTTTAACGTCATTCAAATATCCTGAAATCATTTTTCTATGATTTTATTCATAGATATAATGCTCAAATGAAGATTTATCAATATTGTATGTTCCGAAAAGCATTATTTGTAAAGATAATACCGAATTTACATTTCATAAAGGGAGGTAATTAGAAATATATTTTCTATTAAGTGTAAGTTGAATCTTTCAAAAAGAAATGAATGCATTATGCATACATGTATATTTTAATGATTACATATAATGTGGACAAGCATTTGCAGTATGTATTTTACATATTCCTTTATGTTTGAAAATTGTTTTAGTACCATAAATATTAATACATTTAATTTATAGACAATTTCAATTGGTAACAGCCTGAAATATAACTTACATGATCTTTAATTACCAAAATATGGTAAAGACTGTGATAAAGAAATAACTATGATCTTTGTTTTCTTATATTTTTTTATTCTTTTATTTAGGTAAAAATACGTACACATGATAACTTTCATACTTAAAATTGTCAAAGTTGTTAATAATTGTGACGCCGTAGTATGGCAGTACATTGAGTTTCAACCAGTTCATGACAAAAATGATTTACATGTTGTTTTTTAATAAACTATTCAAATCAACCGATAGATATTGACTTCTTTATGTTCATAAACGTACCATTATGCTGTTTTAAAACCTAAATCACAAGTTTAACAAACACGCAAACCATTGTGTTTTAAATTATTAACAAGATATTAAAGCCAGCAGTTATTGAATAAATGCTGGCCTCTAATATGTGCACGAGTCCAACAGAATCTTAATCCAGTATGGTACTAAACAATGTATAATGACTTCTTCGTAAACACCACAATTTTTTAACATATAAACAAAACTTTATCCTTGAGATCCAAACTGCCCATTTAAAGTCTTATAGTCCTAGCTTGTTGTTGGCAATAATTTTGAATTATCCCTTCGGATGCAACACAAGCCAAGTGCACCTTTTTGTATAGTGATCCTGTCAGCTGAAACTTTGCCATGGCACCTTGTTCCTGCCTAACGACGTCATTCTACAGAATCAAAGAAGTGATCTCTGTAAAAAGAATGAAAAGTTAATGTTGCCAAACACAGTAGTTATTGACAAAATGGTGTTAAAATTGTGAGAATAATCCATAAAAGCTAACACAGCAATGCGCTATCAAAATGTATAAATTTAGGTCCGAGTGGGAGCATCTCTGTAATCGAGTCCGAGTGGGAGCATTTTCTATTTTCATCAAATAACCTTTAAAAGACTGACTTTTGAAAAGAAATATTTGAAACTAATAAAGAATAATGGGTATACATGACTCGGTTTATGTTCCGATACGTTAATAATAATTGTAAAGAAGGTTTTCAACCTTATTTCATATATGTTTCGGGAGAAGTCCGAGTGGGAGCATTCAGAGAAAAACACTTATCCCGTTTTCAGGCCTAAACCAGGCAATAAATCTATAAACTTTTTTTACAATTATCTCAAGTACTATAGCCATTCTTTGGTGCGCTACATGATTTTTTAATACTCTTACGTTTTCTTATAATAAAATTGTATTTTACCTTCGAGTCGACGAAAAAATGGTCCAAGTGGGAGCATTTAGCAGGTGCGCGATGACGTAGTATCCTACCATTGGTTACGTGTGCCCTAAACGAAAATCAACAGGCAAAACTGAAAGAAAAGATTTTTAGATGCATGTCAAAAAGCTGTGCAAATATCTGCAGGCGTCATATTCAAGAAGGAATACTAGATTCACTCAGGAAGGTCAAAAAGGAGGAAATAAAATGAAACAAACAAAACAATAATTTCATGCTGAACGATTTCATTTTTTGGAAATTGAACGTATAGATATGTGTTATACTTTAATAATGGAAACACTTATTGGGATGAAACTTTAACTGCATGTATTTTAAAATAAAGTAAACTACAGATTAAAAATGCATAAATAAAAATTCTCATACACAAAAATGTTTTACTTTCGGCGCACACTGGGATAACACAAAAGAAGCCGTAATTTTCTTGTTATCACACTAAAGGATTGTAAAAATCCGTGAAACTTTGTACATTGCTTGATAAAGTCAGCATACTAGTAGCAATATTTGCATTTTTTGGTTGTCAATTGCGTTTGTCTCTTTTTTATGCATATATCGCTACAAAACAAGATACCATGCACCATGATAGCTATTTTGCACGTACTGACGGATCTGTCGAGAAACACGCGATCATCAAATATTATTCGAATTAAAGAATGATACCAACACATAATTTAGAACAAAATGTAACTAGCAAATTCAGGAAAGGCAGTACAGCGTTCTATGGTGTTTAAATGTCACAAGAGATTCTTTGATGGCCGTAAATAATTATGTGAAAACGATACATGACGCTGGTGTAAATTCGTAATCATTTTACAGATGATTCCCAGCGTCCGTTGATACGGACAGACGTCAAAAGATGGAATTACCGACGAACGCCAAAAAATTATAAACATTTGAAGCTCAGTTTGAATCATGGACAGTAGTAGTAATATGCCAGCTACTGCCTTCACAAAACATTAACCGGCTCAAACAGAAATCAACATTCCTACATAAAAATGATGACATTTTAAAATGAAGATTTGGTTTTCAACAATCGGTGCCCTGACTTCAACCTCACTCAAATGTTGATTTTGTCTTCGTAATCAGGTAGAGTGAGACTTTAATTATTTAGTCTTAAAAGACATTCTACTTTCGTAAAAAGTTAATCTTGATTGTTGTGATAATTCGCATAGTTTTAGGCGAGGTATGTCAAATCTATGTCATTACGAACAGACACTGATTAACTTTTTGTTCTCCCACAAGACGCAAATTACATTTATGTCTATATGTACTATTGCAACTAAACTAATTTAACAAATTGATGATCTATGTAGGAGAAAAGGGACTAGTATTTAGATATATATAGTTCTTAACGCTCTTGAACCTGACATAAGTATTAGAATTAAATTACTAGGTATACTTTGTACCTTTTACTTTTTTAAGAGGGGTTCGGCCTGTTTCTGTTCTTTACCCTATCGGGTGCTTTTCCAGTTCATTGAGACAATAAGATGTTAAGGGCTACATTCCGTAAACCTTGCTACACCTTATAGATAATGTTTATATCTGCTGCAAAAATGTTATTTTGATTTTAAAAATATACTTACATAATATCCATATAAAAGAAATATTTTTGTATATTTCCATAAAGCAAATCGGTCCATATTTCAAGGTAACTATTTAATAGCATTCATGAATACAAAACACGAAATAATCGTGGTAAAATTGAGATACATGATTCTATATTACATATTAATGTATAGCACATTATAAATTGTTCTAGAACAAATGCTTATTATTATTTATATTATCATTATTAAATGTTCATACTATCACTAGGAACTCTTATTAAAAAACGAGAATAAAGATCAACAAGGCAAATGCAAAGTTCACAAGACGCAGCCCAAGCAACCACAGCAATGCACACAGAAGGCACCAAACCAAAACCGGGAGAGGACAGTAAGATTCTTTTTTCACACAATTTTATTAATGACATCAATTAATACTTTTCCATTCCAGTTATAAATCTTAGAAATACTTATATGAAATATGTCCATTGTGAACCAGCCCATTTTATGAGCGACTTGCGCATGCACGAATTCATAAATGTACTTAAAATAGCAGCAGAATATTTTGTTAACGTACATGTGTCAATGTGTATTATAAAATCGAAATATTCTATGATACAACCTTTTCGAAAATCGACCATTAGATTATGAAAGGAACTCAATTTTACTGTTAAAAAAAGTTCATTTTACTTATAAGATAACATATAAGACATTTTCATAAGATTTATAAATGTTTACTCTTTAAGCCGATATGATTTTTTCATGATACTAAATGCCGTGTGAAAACTAATTACAAGCATTGATTGCATAAAACATTTATTTTTACAATTGAAATTTTTAATTTAATAACGGCAATTCTTTTATGGATGTTTTGTTTGTTTGTTTTCATATTTAAAAAAAACTCAGAAAAATCTTTGTATGAACAGACACTAATGATGTGGGTAATAAGAAATGTATTTTTCAGAATGAATTTTTCCTATCATCACTAATGTTAAATTTCTATTTCGCTTGTTTCTGTAACCAAACAAATTTGTTATATTGGCAGATGCACAGAGTTAGGTAAAGTTTATACAAATTAAGATAAATTTCTAAACACATCTAAATACTCCTTGTTTGGTTTGCCTTGAAACCGTGATGTTGTTTTATTTATAAGTATACTGTTTTAAAGCATTTAGTATTCAATTTGTCTATACATAATATAAGAACGGTTAACAAGACATAATATAGATTAAGGAATTAGATTGCAAGAAATAAAATTGGCTTTACTCTGTTTCAACATGCTTCTTGTTCTATATCAAAGTTACACCTGTTTATTTAAACATTTACAATATGTTTAAAGAAGAAAATAATAAGTTCTGTTCTTCAATAAAGCCCTAGGCTTACTTCTTGAAATATGTTTTCCGTTCAAAGAATTTACCCCTGAAAACAAATAAATAAATGCAATTCTTCAGTATTATCTAATTTGTTACGAATGTAATGTAGTTTAAATAATCATATCTTATCTAATCTAATCACATGCATTTACAGTACATAGAAGTAAAATGTACAGTCCTGATGGGTTATAAGATGTGACTATTTATATTTAAAAGATATTTTTCAAGATATTCTTATAATTGTTTAGACTTACTTTTTAAACCGTGTGAGCATCTGTTGAAAATAAGAAATTCCTGCTTAAGTTATAACATTTTACTGTCTTGTGTGCTTATTGACTATGCAAAAAATACACTTTTGAATTAGTAAAATTTCCACACATTAGTGCTTTCATCATTCATCACTTAATGATTCAACAAAGACAATTTACATGCGCGAAAAAAAAGGAACGGGTTCGAATATACATACATACAAATATAGAAAAAAAACATAGAAATGATGACAACATAAGAAAAGTAATGTTAGAGGGAGCGCCATGGCACGGGCAGTAGTAAGCCAAAAGGAGGTTTTAAAACGATTTGTGATGTACCCCCTTTTGAGCACATCGTTTCTGATTTTACAAGACAGAGTTACCCCTTGTGTTAAATAATAATCATGAACTTAGTAATTTTTCAAATTACACGAAAAGG